ACAACTATTTGTTTCGTAAATTTGTATCCAATTTGCACGGTTTTTAAATTGATTTGTATTTAGAATTTTTTTCATAAATAATTGATACATTTTTTGCATAAGAATCTCTAAACTTGTTACCAAAAAAGATATGATTTAAATTTTGGTAAAAAAAAATAAAATATGATACGAAAAAAATGGGATTCAAATTTTGCCATAAGAATCTCCAAATTTGTTACCAAAAAAATAGGATTCAGATTTTGTTTCTAAAGATTTACATGTGTTTTTTCAAACTTTCCATTAATAGTAAGTCAAACATTATATTTATTTGGTCAAACTTTCTATTAATGTATTTTTTCAACAACCTTTTTATATATACTAGTACGGTGCCCGTGCGATGCACGGGAGCATTTACTATTATATATATTTTTTAAAAGATATTTTTATATTTAAATTGTCACATGCCATTAAAAATTTCATGAAAATGAAATTTATATGTTTGAAAAGATATTAAACACTTCCGTATGTACAACATTATTGATTTGATTCTTGGCACGTAAAGTACTACATAGGTGTTCGAAGTTATTCAAAATTGCATATTATTAGTTATTAGTTAACAAATTTTAAAAAAATTAAAGGATCTTATTTATTGAACAAAATTAAAGTAGAAAAAAAAAGTAAAATTTTTTAGGGATTTTCACCCATTATTTATTTTAAATCTAATTCTAAATTTTAATTAACAAAAATTGAAAAGAATTATTAGTTAGTCCCGGAAATGACTGATTTTCCTACCAATAAACCCTTTTTTTTATCAAACAAATTGATCCGATTTTTTTTTAAACCAAATAAAAAAAAAACATCAATTTTTTCTAAAAATGCAACCAAATTTTCCTAACATTGCACCAATTTTTGTACCAAACAAATTGAATTAAAAATAATTCTAATAAAAAATTGAAATAAATTGTTAATGTTTATGCAACTGTCTCTTTCCTAAAGAAAATGATATGAACTTAACAAAAAAAAAAAATGATATGAACTTACCAAAATCTCGATAAAACATGGTTAAGAAAAAACATAAGAATCCAAAAAAATCGATGCATTTAAATTTTGAAAAGTTGCACATATTTTTTCCTAAATAATTGGATAAGGTGACTTTAAATATCAATGATGAACCGCTTTTGTTATCAAAAAATGTGGACACAATTTTGAATGTACATCCCGTCCAAATATCAATTTTATTTTAAAATAAAAATTGCACGTGGCTTTATCCAATTTACACAATTTTTTTAAAGAAAAAATTATTCAATAAGATTGTTAGACTTGGTTAAGAATTATACAACTATTTTCTTCCTAAATTTGTATCCAATTTGCACGGTTTTTAAATTAATTTGTATTTAGAATTGTTTTCATAAATAATTGACACATTTTTTGCATAAGAATCTCCAAATTTGTTACCAAAAAAGATATAATTTAAATTTTAGTAAAAGAAATAAATATGATACGAAAAATATGGGATTCAAATTTTGCCATAAGAATCTCCAAATTTGTTACGAAAAAAATTGGATTTAGATTTTGTTACTAAAGATTCACATGTATTTTTTTGAACTTTCCATTAATAGTAAGTCAAACATTATATTTATTTGGTCAAACTTTCTATTAATATATTTTTCCAACAACCTCTTTATATATATATAGATATAGATATAGATATAGATATAGATATAGATATATAATTAATAATTCATTTTATTCACCTTAGAATGTGGGCTCGAAAATTTTGTTTTGAAATTTAAATTTTGAAACAAATTCAAATTTTTGTTTTCTGTCAGTGTTTGAATACTCTTAATAATGAAATATGCCAACTATAAAAATATTTGAAGACAAATGACAAAAATTAAATATTTTGAGATGTAAATGAATACCTCTTATTTATGATTTTCATCAACTTGAATAATTAGGAGTTGACAATCTAACTTCATCATAGTTTAATTATTCTACACAATTTGCTTACTATGTCAATAACTCATAACATAACATGAACCTGGAAAAACTTTTGGGACGGGTCATTTTCCAGCTTCTTTTATTGAAAGTATTAAAGATTAATGTCAGTTGACTTTTATAAAATAAACTAGAATTAGATGTTTTGATTGTTCTAAAAATAAACATAGATAACAAAAAAATACTCAAAGTAATTAATCAAGTAACTAGAAGTTTAAAAATTTAAACATGCACTTATAATTAAAAACGATGTAGCATCTTTTATCAACTCAAGAGATTTATTAGTGAACAAGTCACATGAATATAACTCGAATATGGTAANAGATAATATAAAATTATAAATAAGAGAAAAGAAAAGGTAAGTAAAATTCTAAGCATGATATATGGTTAATTTTTACTTAATTTTGCAATCACAACTTTAAGACTTAATTTTTCAACGATTTATTTTGTACGTTATTGTAAAAAAAATATAAAAAAATTGCAAGCAACTTATGCTTTTCTTCTGATATAATGATAACACCTGCTTAAGTACTACTCAATTCAAAATATAACTCTCTTTTACGTGTTAAATTATTTATAAATACATATGTCATGTTGTTTGATGCATGCTTGTGAACTAACCAGGACTTTGATAGGTTAAATAAGACTGCAAGAGTTAGCAAATTCTTATACGTACTTTACGTTAGCGTTGACTAATGTGCATAATAATACAGGTATTTTAAATATATTTCATTTTTTAAGTATTTGTCTAATTGCCATTATGTGCTATGTATCTGGATGGGACTTTATCTACCTTCTTAACTTATAAGAAAATACGAGACTTGCTTTAAAATGTGACATATGGCACATTGTGGTGCCTTCTTTTAGGTTTCCTTTCATCTATTTTGTTTTTGCTGTTTTTGTTTTTACTTTTCTATTTCTTAAGTTTTTTTTATTACTTTTAGATATTGGGGGTATGCTTGTCATTTTATGATTGAAGTTGGGGATATTTTGAGGCTACTATTAATTTTTTTTTTTTCGTTTCTTTTTTCCTCTTTCCTTGCCTTTCCCTCTCCCTTTCTATCTACTGTATTTTTCATCCCATCGTTTTCTCTTTGCTCTTATGTCTTTCCATTTCCTTTTTTTTTTTATTTTTTTCCTTATTATCTTTTGCAGTTGAAATTTTTTTTTTCGTTCACGGCCGTTGTTCCGTTAATTAGTGTGTGGTGTTTTCAGATTTTTAGACTTCTACATCCAAATGTGTTTTCAATTTTTTTTATGGCGCCGTCGTTGCCTTGCGTCGGATCAACCTTACAATTCAGCTAAGTTCTTATGTCGTTGTATTATATTCATTCATTATGTTACTGATTTTTTACCTTAAAATTATGTTGTTGTTTTTTTTATTGGCTTTTTTCTAGATGCAGATATTGAATAAATCTGTATTCTTAGCCCATCTTATGCTAAATGTTGGGCAATAGGTTGATGTTTTTTTACCAATTTATGATTTTTATTCATTCATTTTATACTTATGTGAATTCAAGTTCTAGGATTTTCATCTACTGTTTGCTATCAAGTACCCTACTAAATTGTCAATCATGCCTACATGTTTCTTCTATGTTCTTTCTCTTTGTGTTTTTTATTTAAAATTTGTCCTGCAGAATAATTTTATTTTTTTTAAATTACTTCTTTCCTCTATGGTTTCATGTAAAATTGATGGTTGTTAAATACGTATTATGTGCAATAATTACTTTACTTTAGGGAGGCTGTAATAGATGACTACTAGCATTGCCATGTGTTTTTTTTTAATTGGTTCTTCTTATACTCTTATTTTACTTCATAATGTAGGTAGCAGGTTTTTGTTATCATTATTTTTTACTTTAGTTGCTTGCTTCACGTGTACCATTTTTTTGGCTTATTATTTTACTCACTTCTTCTCTCATCTACTATGTGTGTTTCTATTTATAGCAGATTCTACATTTCTTTGGCTTTTACTCATTTGCTGCAACTCTGTAAGTTTTTCTTCTTCAATTGTTCTCTGCATTTATTTTGTCCTTTCCTTTGTATTTAGGCTGCTGTTTTTTATATTTCATTCTTCAGTTGTGCTTTTGTTTATGTTCTTTCTCTTTATTCAATGTGGTGTTTGTGTGGTTTAAGGTTGCTGCGCATTCAATGTGTTCTATGTTGTGTTTCATATTCTGACATTTGTTTTGGATGTTTCACTCATAAGTTATTTTTTTTTTTCAACTTCCTTCTGTTCATTTATTGTCCTGCTCTTATTGTTCAGTATGTATTTTTATTTAATGTATTTTTCCTTCTGTTTGGTGTGTACAACGTTCGTTTTTTTTTTCCTCATATGCATGGTTGGAGGTATTGAACTTCATTTACTTTTTATTTTCTTTCTTTTTCCTTTTTCTTTTAGGTTTAATCTATGTATTTTCATTTTATTTGTGTTTACAGTCTCTTTAAGTATAAATGTTGGCCTTTCTGTGCAGTGACTTTTTTCATGTTTCTGATCGCATTTGATCATTTTTATGTCCTTCATGTCACTTGTGGAAGACCTCTACTTTGGTTTTTACTGCATGTTCCTTTTCTTTGTAATCAAATCTCATATCCTTGTTTTTCTATCAGAGCTCATGTTCCTTTTCTTTCTCATGGGTAACAATTTTATGTGTCTTACCTATTTGTACAGATAATACTTCTTTTTCTTTCCAGCTGTTGTTATTTCTGTGTAAACTTTTGGGTTTTATTTTTCACATATACTTGTTTTAAATATATTAACATCCGTTACTGTTCTTGCTTTGTTGAATTGTGTTTTCGGTTGCTTTTCTGCAGGTGTATTCAACTATTCTACAACAAACAATTTCTCTATTTCACCTGCTGATTTCTATATTTAAGCATCAGGTTTTTCTAAAGACCTTCGTACTTATTTAATATCGCATAAAAGTTTTTGTTTATTTTAAACTGTTCGTGTATATATATTTACTTCATTTGCTTTTCATTTGGTGATGAGGAAAAAAAGAAAATATGTTGACATTGTCCTGCCAATGGGTGGGGATGTCCTTGCTAAAAAACAATATAGGCAAGAGGCTATAAGAAGGTGGAGATTAAAAAAAATGAAAACAAATTTGACAGTGAATTATACAACTTATATGGACATTCAAAGCAATGTTGTGTCGCCTCACATTAGTGCTTTAACTTTAGATGCATCTGGTGAACAACGTAGACAAGAATCCATTGAAAAATGTAAACCAAGGAAAGATACATCTGAATCTGTTCAGCCTTCTGTTACATTTCATAGTGATACTGATGTGGTTAGACACCATTATACAATTGAACCTATTGATGTGGTGCAAAGAACTGGTCTTTATGATTCTGAGGCAGGGTCCAGTAATGCATCCAATCTTAGAAAAAGGGTTAATGAAACATTAAATGACATACGGATAGAGCAGCTTAATTGTAAGAGAAGTAAAAAAACGCATTTAAGAGATGGTAGAAACAGACTTACATCTATTCCTTTAGCGCCTGCAGTCTTACGGAATGTGCCAAACTGTCCACACTGTCTTGCAAAGAAATTTGAATATGAAACATATAACTTATGTTGTTTAAATGGAGATGTGTGTTTAGCTACTAATGATGCTCCTCTTATATTTCAAGAACTTTACACGTCTTTGTCATTAGAAGCAAACTTATTCAGAACTTGCATTCGAACAATCAATAATCATTTTGCTTTCACTTCTATGGGAGTGCACTATGATAAGGCTCTCAGTAAGCGTAATAATGGGATTTATACCTTCAGAGTGCAGGGTCAAATATACCATTTCATAGATAATTTCTTTGAATCTAAAAACCTTCAGTTGTATTTTCATGACACCGATACTGAAGTTGCTAAAAGGCTAGAAGCATGCCCTAGATTAACAGAATCGTTAATTGAAAAAATCCTTACAGTTCTCCAACATAATCCATATGTAAAATTTTTGAGGAGGCTTAAGGATGTACCTAATTTAGACTCATGTCACATTATATT